TGTATTTGTTTCATGGTCCATGTTAGTTTCATGCTCCCTTGCCTCATGTCTCTCTGCCTTGTGTATGTGTCATGTTCTGATTGGTAGTCTTAGTCATGTGTCTTGTTCCCCATATGTTTGTTCATGTCATGTGACCCTCCTTGTTTCCTATAAGAAGCTTCATGTTCCCATTGTGCCCTGGTCGTGTATTGAATGTATTTAACCCGCTGTTGGTGAGTCTAGTCTGTTTGTGTCAAGTCTGCTCATGCTATGTCTGTTCAAGTCAAGTCAAGTCAAGTCTGGGTCTTGGATTACTGTTTGGATGTCTGGATCACTCTGTAAATAAACTGCACTTGGGTTCTCACTACGCTCGCCTTCAGTGGATTGATTCTTTACAGTACCATGTAGCGACTCTCATTTCTGCAAACAATAACACAGTAGCAAGGCCATAACCATGAACATTGAGGGGACAAGAAAATTGCTAGAACTTTTTTTTGAGGCTGGGATCTATTGTAAAGTCATGCATTTGAACCACTTGCAAATAAAATTTTTATTTTAAAATATGCACATTCACTCTTAATTGTCCTAATATGCCCAAACAGCTCTGTTAAAGTTTGTTGTCTCTTACATTCAATTACATGAATTAGCCCTATATAAATGATATAGGCTATTTTCAATTCAAAGCGGTCAAATCTGAGCAAATAAATAAATAAAATCTCACTTTTTTACTGTTAAAAGCTGAAGCGTCATCTTGGTTTGATTGGCCATCTCAAACATTTTGACATTGATGAGCACTGTTAGGCTGAAGTGCAGCAGAGCTGCATCTATAATATCAAATATCTGATTATTGGTGGTCCTTGTTGTGGTTTGAATCGACAACTACTTGTACAATCTTGAAGATTCTGTGGGAGCTGCGCTTAGGCACCGGTGAAGAGTTGCACCAGTGCTTCTGGGATTGTGGGTTTGGCAAAATCTTAACAAGTTGTCCAGATTTTCCTTCAACTGCTCACATTTGTGTAGCATGTTCAACTTGGAGACCTAGGAAACAGCTCTGTTAAAGTTTGTTGTCTCTTACATTCAATTACATGAATTAGCCCTATATAAATGATATAGGCTATTTTCAATTCAAAGCGGTCAAATCTGAGCAAATAAATAAATAAAATCTCACTTTTTTACTGTTAAAAGCTGAAGCGTCATCTTGGTTTGATTGGCCATCTCAAACATTTTGACATTGATGAGCACTGTTAGGCTGAAGTGCAGCAGAGCTGCATCTATAATATCAAATATCTGATTATTGGTGGTCCTTGTTGTGGTTTGAATCGACAACTACTTGTAAATCTTGAAGATTCTGTGGGAGCTGCGCTTAGGCACCGGTGAAGAGTTGCACCAGTGCTTCTGGGATTGTGGGTTTGGCAAAATCTTAACAAGTTGTCCAGATTTTCCTTCAACTGCTCACATTTGTGTAGCATGTTCAACTTGGAGACCTAGTTCTGGTGAGCACAGATTCAGTCAGATGCTTTGACCCTGATACTCGTCACGCTGTGATAAAGATTGTATGTGCCTGAACTGCATTATTGATGGAGCCAATTAAATTTAGATGGAGATTACAAGAGAAAGAAGCTTGTCTGCTCATCTCCGTCCCGACGGCTGAGGATTAATGGGATGCTTTTGCTCAGAAGGTCTTAACACTCGTCCGATGGCCGCTGAATGACTCCGACGGGGATGAATCAAGCTGGATGTGGAAGATTTATGTGTGTACAAACACACAATATATTCATTTTGTTGCACACACAAATTCAGACACGGACTTCTCGATAAATGAAAAGAAAGGATATCATTGGGTTGAATGGCTTACTTGATTTCGCTTTCTCTGATTCGGCTTTCGTCCAGATCCTCAATGAACTTCTCTCCCTTCATCCAGTAGATGAGAGGACTCACATCTCCACTGTAGCCAAAGAAAGCTCGGCAGGTCAGGTTCACGGGGCTGCCTGCAAAAAGACACATCACAACACAAGTTCATATATATCATCTGTGAAAGCAGCTTTCTAACGGAGCCTGGCCTGTGGACGGCTGTATGATTTGCTCTCTCTCTAAGAAACAGAAGCTGCAACAAAGATTGTGAGGGAGTTTAGATTGACATCACTATAACCCTAAAACTGCCTCAACACTTTTCCAAAACTATACTAGACACACAATCACTGCAGGCCTGTGAGAGTCTATAAAGGAGATACTACACGCTTTAACATTAACACAAAGACTCTTGACTGAAGTAAATCAGTGTTTCTCTGTGACAGCATGAACAACTGATGCTAATGAGAATCTCCTGTTCTGCCTGTATGTGAAAATGAACCATCTCTGAATGCAGGAGTTTCCTCTCTGGGCCACTGGAGGTCACTGTGGTTCCATCTCTAACACAGGACAGATCCCAGTGGCACAAACACACCTTCCGCAGACATGTATTAGGGCAAATTCTTCAGTCTTTTGTACCGTGGCACACAGTCCAAAGCATCTGAAGCAGTGATTCAACAGGAACGGCACTACTTACAGTCTTTGCAATCTTCAGAACAACATACACTGAAATTAAAGCTAGCTTCATGTCTTCATCTCTCTCTATATATTTATATTAGATTTAAGATGATACTGTATAATGAACATCTTTGTGTTCTATGTTTGTCAGCAGGGGACGAAATTAAAATGCCAACCCAAGATTCTGTTTAGTAGACCGCTTATAATTGAAAAGTGGATGCTTCCAGAAAAATCTGCATACAATTGTATTTCTGAGAAGCTCTTTGAAGAAAATGCCAGTATTTTGAAATAAGCTCAGACTGTCAGTTTTCCCCCCCAATTGTATCCATTTAGCCTGAGATGGTTCTGCAAAACATAGCTACGTACGTACCACCTGCGCTCAGAATAGTTCAGTTACTCATACATGTAACAAATGTCTGTTATAGTGCATGCAGGCGTGTTTTTGTATGAATTGGGAAATTGGAGCAAGAACATCCTAGTTAATCGGGTCTCTATGGCGTGTTAATTGTGTTTGTCTGTGTTGGCCTCTATTCATTCACATCCAGCGGAGAGGATCATCCAGACGGCTGAAAGCTGCTCTGCTCATTAAAACACTGTTGGGAACATTTGTGCCATCATAATGCCATAACTGACCTCCTGCGTCCAAAACAATTTACAGAGAAAGACAGAATGAATGAATGAACTGATGTGAAAATGTCTGTATAAACGGTGATGTGCCTCTGAGCAAGTATGTTAGTAAGGACTAAAAACCCAGCTGACAGAGAACGGTCTTACAACTTTCAACATTTTTTGAAAGTTATAAGAATTTTAGAACAAAACATTCTTAAAGTAATGTTTAACTTTATTAATATTTGATATACATTCTCATAACATTGAGAGAAAAGGTTCTTAGAACAACATTTTTGGGAACATCTTTACGATGTTGTTTGCACTTGTTGAACATTCTCATAATGTTGAGAGAAAACAGTCTTAGAACAGTAAAAATAAACATTTAAATTACATTATTTTCATTAAAAATAAAACATTATTTGAAACATTGTTTTGCATAGTCTTAGAATGTTAAAATGTCCAGTTTTCTCGTCATGATTATAAAGTTAATGGAACATTGTAAGAAATATTTTTGGAACATTTAAATAATTTTATAATCACAAAAAAAAACAAGAAAAAAAAAACTGGATATAACATTTTAGAAACAATGTTCCCACAACGTTTTTAAAACCTTCTTTGTGTAAATGAGTTTAAATGGCAACTGGGCAGAGACGGATCATTGAGGATGGTTGTTATTGCCACATTTTCCTTATTCACCCATAAACAAGAAAAACAACAAAACCCATATCAACTGTTGACATGACTCGCTGGTTTTCCCCAAGTCAATCTGAGTAGCCAAATAAATAAGCTGTAGAAGGTGAATGTAAGCTGGCTTGTGGTCCGATGATGGCATGCGTTCCCAAAATATTCTGCTCCTTCAGTCAAGTCTCTTTCTCTGTCTCTCTCAAGAGTAGTTCAAAAGCAACCAGCCGAGTAAAGACTGAACGCTGACCTGAACCCTCTGTGTGTTTGGCAAAAGCATTACTAAGAAAGACAGAGACAAAGCGTCAAGTCATAACAGAGTTTGTGAATTCATACACTGACTCAAATGTCAACAGCAACAGCACCAGAGTCCCATGTTTAATGCTGTCTGCGACGTTCCTCCTCTATCAGTCTGTTTAAATCAGAAATATAGATCAACAGATGCTCATCAGGCCAATTCACTGGGACTTTTTTGCCGAACTGACAGATGTGGCACATCCTTACACAGAAATACATTACAGCAACTCATATTTGTGCTTTTTTAAGCATCTGCAGGGAAATATGATATTATTCATAAATCAGGAACCTGTATTACTCTCCAATCAAATCTACATGAACAACAACGCTGAGCAGATGTGTGATGCATGCGCACACTATGGATTCATGAACGGTGTCATCAATAGAAATGTTTAATTTCAAATGGAATTCCTGCTTTCTGAAGTCATATTTTACTAGCTACTGTACAACATTATTATTATTTACACAGACAATCACACTCGTTAGGATTAAATCCAACGGTGAACATATTCAAGGGACGAGTCTGGTTAATATGGATGTAATTTAAAACGAAACACTGCCACATACCTGGAGACAAACTCTTTAGGCCAGTTCACTCCAAGGTCGATAACTATAAAGATATAGTTCTAAAAATCTTTCTCAGTATTAATGAATAGCAGAGTCCACACCACAGCGATAACAATAAAGGCACGGAGTTGGTAGCACTTTATTTTACAGTCCTGTTCCTCATGTACATACTATGTATTAATTACAATAACTAGGTAATAACTAGGCACTAACCCTGAACCTACCCCTAAACCTAACCCTACCCAATGTAATAATAATAATTTATGCATTTAGCAGACGCTTTTATCCAAAGCAACTTACAGTGCATTCAGGCTATACATTTTTTACCAGTATGTGTGTACCCTGGGAATTAAACCCAAGACCTTTTGCACTGCTAACGCAATGCTCTACCACTGAGCCACAGGAACATTGTATGTAGTTACCTAATATTAGGTAATACAGTGTACTTTCTTGGGTAAGTACACTGTAAGCACAATGTAAGTACATGTAAGTACACGTACTGTAAAATAAAGTGCAACCAACAATTTAATTGGAATCACTTTCACAATGATTTTTTTCCAGCTGATGAATGATAACAACATTGATACCCAATCAGAATCCATCAAAGCGGCAGACAAGCATGTGCTGAGAATAAACAGACAATATTGTTCGCTGGTGTGGACGCTAATATTGTTATCTTATAGTTATCTTTCTTGGTGTGAACTGGGCTTTTTTTAATGCTAAAGCATGAACTAAAAACTTGTCCTGCCACTGATCTAGAATCAGCTTCTCTGTTCTCATTAGGAATAAAAGTGTAGATTTGGAGTGTGGAAACGATTACGTGCAGCAGTTGTGGGCAGTGTTTTCCCAGAGCAGTTATCAGAAATCCCTATTAACGTCTATGGCCAGGCAAAGGCTGAGCGTCATCCACCTCTGATCATCACCTTACACTGGAGAAAGTCCAGCCTCGGATGAACATGCAGATCCCAACCCTCACACTGGGTTCGCCAACACCGCTCACAATACAAGACTGACTTTACTTCTGTTGTCTTTTGCAGGTGTGGCTGTGTCTGGTTGCACGTAACATTTCTATAATGATTTAATTCCACTAACAACCATCCCCGGTTTAGTGGCTGTTCGCTTTATTGCTCTACTTTATGTCTGTCCCAGGCAAGAGTTTAAGAATTCAGATTGTACTTCCTAAAAAATAGCTTGTCTTAAAACTGTGGGCACTTAGGCTTCTCTCAATCCATTTAATTAAAACAATACTATAAATTACATGCAATTCTATCAGGGGGAAGGTAAACCGAGAGGAAGCTAAATTATGACCTTGCGGTGCAGGAGCATTTTCAGCCGCACTGCATAAATCCCTGACAAGAAGTGCTGACATGTCAATCACCGGCGCTTTCCTCCGCAAGTGCTGTGTTCAGACAGAGTATCGTGAAGGAGTGGAGCTTTCACGGCCGAGAGGATTCGGAGATCAGGTAATGACTGAAACTAGTCCCGCAGAGGCCGTTTGTTTGACTCGGACAGCTAAAGCTGAGGTCACATCGGTCCAGCTGAACCTCCAGAAGCCTTTCATCAAACATTTCTCTCCACTTTTTCATCTTCTCTGTCTCTTTTCTCTTTCTGCATGTCCCGCTCACACTTTCTGTCTCTCTGAGCAGCATCGTCTCTGAGTTTCTGGAGCAGCAGATTCAAGCGTGTTTGGCAGGAGAAACTTCTCTCCAGACCGGACTAATTGCTTCTGATGAGCACTAGACACGAAGCAGGAGGAAATGTGTGTTCTTCAGTGCTGCAGCTGCCTGACCTCAATAAAAAACACACAAGCAGCACTGCCATGTTTGCACTCAGTGGAGTCGCTCTGCTAACGGTGAGCTTAAACACTGATCCTGACTGCCAATCCACACACATCTACGTTTTCCTCTGTGACGCGATGTTTTGAAGCATGGCTGCTGGTCATGTGCTGGTCCTAAGCAGGAGCTAGTTGCTTAGGACCAGCACATGACCATCTTATGCCAGCTCATGACCAGCTAAGAACCAGCTTCAACCAGCTCAAACCAGCAGCCATGCTTCAAAACATACCTAGCCAGCATATGCAGATTTTTCAACAGGGATAACACACACATGACGACGTGACAGTGACCTTCAGGAACAATGTGTGTTTGACACACACACACACACACACACACCGCAGCTCTCTTCACTGCTGCAAAAGTCTGGAAGAGACTCTCAAACTCACTACAGCAGCTGTAGGAAAGTCATGATCTTCATCTCTGGTTGGTGACAGCTCAAATCTCTCACTCTATAAGAAAATCTCATCCTTCAG